AGCAGCAGCAGCAGCAGCAAAGAAGAAAATTACAACAGCCTGCGTCATACCCCGATGTGCGCAGCTGTTTCATCATGCTCACATCCTTGCCAACGGGACGGTGAGTCGAACGAGTGGCGCAGCCCGGCAACTGGGGCCATCGCCGGGTTTCGGTGTGCTGTGTCACTGGCAGGCGAAATCGGGTGAGACCAACTACATGTTCAGGCCAAGTAGGTGTGTGTGTGTGTGTGCGTGTATCCTGCGAACAAATCCTGATCGTGTTTTGTACCGCACTGATAGCTGACTACAGGCTCCCCTGGCCAAGCAGCTACCCACGCAAAGCTCATCATCTGCCAGAACTTGCCTTGCAACCGCTGCTCAAAATGAGAACAGCGTGTTTGTATTTCTGACTCATGCTAACGTTGGTCGGGCCTCTGCAAAAGCAGCTGCTGGCACATCACCGGTATTTCGGTGGCCTCTTGGATAGAATTCTTGACCTGCCTTGGGCATTGTGCAATCAAGAAACATGCGCTGCAAGGAACAAAGATAAAAAAAAAAATCAATGCAACAACCCTTGTTGTGGACTTCTGGTGGAGTGACGCCGCAAACTGCTAAAAAGTCAGGATTCCGCCGCACCTCAAACTCCAGTGCTTCTCCACCTTGACTCTGCACAATTCGCCCGCTAACCCATTGACCGCGACAGTCCTGATCTGATCTTGGACCCATCAAGCTTAGACTTAAACTTCCAGCTCTTCCAGCCTGCGTAACATGAATTAAAAATTTGGATCTAGCCCAGGCGAGGGGCAGGCTCATCACCACCTTCGCCACCAGGCCCTGGCCTTCTCTTGAGGCCAGGTTTCGTCCAACGGGTTCGCATGGCTTGCGTTGTTTTAAAGTGGACAGGTTGCTTCGGACGTGTACCTTGCTGCATTCTTTCCTTGCTCTTCTTAGCATGCACTTGTGGGCTTGAATCGCAAAGAAGTTGCTACATGGTTACAGCATAGGCTTCTGCATCGTGTTCCCCACCAGGCTACGATTTCTGCGGACCACAAATCACAAAGCCGCCAATGGTAAATGGCACCCATCTGACAAGTATGTGCCTCTCCTGTCACGGCCTGCCCTGAGTTTCCCACAACGTGACCTGAGCTCATGCCATCAGAGCCTACAGCGGATACTTTCATCTGTTTTTGAATTCAAGCCAACATGACATGAGGCTTGCCACGGGACATGCGCGTCATGCCATTACTGCAGGCCCTCCTGATTTGGTCAGGCATATGCGCTGGCATCCGCTCGAGCAAGAGCAGTTTACGGACGCATGGCATGGGAGACTTTGACTAATGTTGGACCCTCTTATGCAT